GTGGGGGGGGGGGTGGAGACATCACTTGGTGTTAAGAGCAATGGCTTTTCTTGCAAAAGACCCAAGTTTGATTCTGAGCACCGACATGGTGGCTCACAACCATCTGTAAATCCAGATGCAAGGGTATGACGCTCTCTTCCTGCCTCTGCAGGCACAACACACAAGCAGTGCAGAGATACATGCAGGCAAAACACCCAAACACATAAAATACTTTGAAAAAAATGTTTTTCTTTTGTTTTCCGATACAGGGTTTCTCTGTTTAGCTTTGCAAAATGTCCTGGAACTCCCTCTGTAGACCACCAGGCTGGTCTCGAGCTGGAAGAGATCCAAGCATCTCTGTCTCCCGAGTGCTGGGATTAAAGGTGTGAGCACCACCGACAGGCTACATTGAAAATTTTTTAAAGAACTAAAACCTCAGCATGTACTACCCACAACACAACAGTTCATGTACTACCTCGTTTCCATTCTGTGGAGAAAGGCCCTGACTTTCCTCTGGGGTCTTAAATCATCTGGTCTACTGCTTATATAGAAAATGTCAGTTACTTAAACGACAGTCACTCATCCAGGACACCAGAGTTTGCCACATTGCTGATCCACCACCTCTCAGAAGACTTGGAAAGTCCCTCCCTGGTAGCCATGGGAGTGCGATGCAAGCCAGTAGCTGACACCCAGGCCTGTCCCCAGGCTGCTGCTCATTTCTCTAAGTATACAGTTCTCAGGGCTCCCTCTCCTGCTAGCCTCTCTGCACTCCACAAGACATTCGGTACCCTTCAGCTCGAGATCCGCTCATCATCATCATCCCCAAGGACATGTTCCAACACTGGCCATCTTACCTGAAATATCTATCCAGACAAGAACCTTTTACTCAGGCAAAGAAAGAAAGGGGCTGGGTGGGGCCAGAGAGATGGCTCAGTGGGTTAAGAACACTAACTGGTCTTCGAGAGGTCCCGAGTTCAATTCCCAGCAACCATATGACTCACAACCATCTGTAATGAAATCATCTGTAATGAAATCTGGTGCCCTCTTCTGACCTGCAGGGTTACATTCAGACAAAACACTGTACACATAGTAAATAAATAAATGTAGGAAGGAAGGAAGGAAGGAAAGGGGAGGGAGGGAGGGAGGGAGGGGCTGGAGACCACAACCCAGCTGGCTCCTTCCAAAGCCCACAGCATGAAGAGAGCTGACAATCCCACAGAAGCTACAACTGGTGGGTGGAAACACAACCCAACATTAGTGCCATCAACTACGTTTTGTGTTCAGTGGGTTAAACCTTGTTTTGTCACCTCAACAAGGTAGCAAAGAAAAAATTGACAAAACATCTGGGGTGGGGAACCTGTGATTATGAAACTTTGAGACCAATTGAAAAAAAAATAGAACAAAACCAAATGGATTCTTTCAAAGTGTGGTTTTGAGAGTGTGGTGTCGAGGGCTGAAGGTATAGTTGAGTTGACAGACTGCCTGCCTGATACACAGCATGCCCTGGGTTTGATCCCCAGCACTCAAAAGGTGGAGGCAGTAGGATCAGTTGTTGAAAGTTATCCTGGGCTCCATAGCAAGTTTGAGACCAGCCTGGGACACGTGAGGCTCTGTCTCCAGGTGTGTGTGGTGGGGGAGAGCATAGCAATGATCCCATTGTCCAAGTATTTTTAGATTACTATTTACGTTGTTAACAAGAAAATTAGTCCCATGGAATTATTGCCATACCTCAGATTTTTTTAATACTTAGGTTGAAATGTTAAGGGGATTAAAGTTAAGGTGGGTTAAGACAAAAGTCACGTGTATGAACCACTTAACACACCAGACGGGAAAGCACAACCATAGTGTGCTGTTGTGTAAGCCATTGCTCACACACTGGTTTTACTGTCTCCAGTGACGTGCCGCCCAATCTCCAATGCATTTCTGAAAGCTGGCATTAGCCAAACTTAGCTACCTGGAAGAATCCAGTGACAAATCCCTCTATAACATGCACTGAGTGGCTCTGGAGGGCGTAGGGTCTGGCTATGTGGCCCAGATTGATCTCAAACTCACAGTCCTCCTGCCTCGACCCCACCCTTGAATGACACCAGCAATTCTCAGTGTCAGCAGCTGCTTCCATGTGACCCTCGTGCTACATCAGTCACCAGTTCCCTAGAAACAGGTTTCAAACTTGGTGTCAGCAAGTTAAGCAATGTTTTTCCTTTAGTTACTGTTATCACAATGAATCTTATGGACATTAAAGGGCCATAGGTTTTGTTCTGTAACATGTTTTCAAAATAATCAAAAATCTCCTTTGAAATTTTCACTTATAGCAGAAGAATTCATGACATAAGAAGTGGTGGGGGGACTGTTTTGTTATTGTTGTTTTTTTCTTATTGTTTTACTTAAACCCTGGTATTGACTTTCAATGCTATAAAAGGCTCATGCTGCCATTAGGAGGCAACTTCAGAAGTTGAGGACTAGGCTTGCCCCCCCCCCAAGGGTGACCAAAATCTAGGTAAGAAAGCACAAGGGAGGGGCATCTTACTAAGGTTTGATTATCAGGCAGATTGCAGAAGCCCTGACTATGGGACCTTCCTTCCCACCTGGGATCACAGAGCCATGGAAGGGGACAGGAGACCACTCCCCAAGTGCCAAGTGGAAGAAGGGAAGGTTCCAGAATCTGCCCTGTGCAGTCCCCAGAACATAATGCATGGCAAAGATATGATGCAATGACAAAGGAGTTCAGAGGCTGGGCCTTCTGAACATCTGGCAAGATCAAAGTCCATTTAGAAATGCCATCCAGAAACAGTGTTGTGTCCCTCCCCACCCTGGGAGCCGACGGTTATACCACCGAGTTCTCTCTCTTTCCTGAAACTTAGTGGTTAAGAAAGAGCGAGGCCATTTTCAGGATGAGTGCCCACATCCTCTGTAGACTCTGGTTAGAGGGTGACAAACTGAAGTCTGTGGGCCAGGGGTCACAGCGAAGGTCAAGAGCTAGCTTGAGAATAAGCAGGTTATGAGGCCACAGATGGCCTAGAAAGGGGGGGGGGTGTGAATGAGAGGAGCACAGGAGCCTCCCTCTTGGGAACCAAACAATATATAAGAAAAGCATCAACCAGGTTCTACATGCGTTGGTATGCATAAATGCATACATGTGTGCACTTTCTCACTTTGTGACACATTTAGAACATTTTAAATGAATAAATTCCCTCTTATCTATCATGAACTGGGAAAAAAAAAAAAACTAAGTCAAAAATATCCTGATGCACTATGACCTGAGATAACAAGCACCTCCAGCTGTTTTGGGGAATGTACTGTCTGAAAATTTACATTTGGGATTTCCAGGTTTATTCTTTTTCATTTGTCACCTAAAATCTAGATCTAATCCAGAATCTGCTACTAAATAGCTGATGACCTTAGACACATCACCCAAGTTCCCTGCTAATGAAGCCACCAGACCTCAGGGCTTCTGATGTCTTTCCAGCCCGCACTCTATCATGGAAGACACTCTGTCAACCCCATGACTAAAAGACTCTTCTGTTATTTTACTTTGTTGGCAAAGAAGAAACAGATGTTCTTAAAAACCACCCTTCTTACCCTTATTTCTATTTTACTACTAAGAAACATGGAAGGGCCAGACATGGGCCAGATTCATACAAATACCCTCCACCACTCCCTCACTTCAGTACAGTCAGACATCAAAGAATATGGGCCTGTTTTTATAATTACTTAAGCATTTTATGATTTTATGTTATGTAAATTTATTTATGTTCCAATTTTTACAGAGTAAAAGATTGCATTTTAGTAGAGTCAATTCATAGGCACTTGGTATCACTGATTTCTCATGGAAAAAAAAAAAAAGAGAATTGGACAGTGATGGTTAAGATTTGAATGGCCACAAAGATGGGCCTTTCCCCAGAAACCAAGCTCACAGGTACTCAACCACCACTCCAGGAGCCCTGTCCTGATGAGAAGTAAACAAAGGCAGAGCCTTTTCTGATGTAGCCCAGAATGTAGGCTAAGGCTTGAGGCTGCAGGCTGCAAATGTTCCCAGGTAGGCAAGGCCTCAGATGCTGGTTGCTGCCCTTAGATGCACCTGTAGGCACGATGGTTCCTACCCCCAGGGTTCAATACCAAGCAACATGGCATACTCATTTCTAAGTAATGCTTTTATAAAAACCAACAAGGTTCAGGAAAAAAAGATGCTTGCCCTAAGGCACAGAAAAACACACAGAAGCGAACAGACAAAAGCAGAGAATCAGATCTCAGTGGAGGAATCTTATTACTGCAACTAGTCAAATGATTACTTCAGACAGACTTGCAAAGGAGGGCCCACTGAGCAGACTGCAGCAAGCCTTGCAAGCACCACCCAGGGTGCGCTCATCCTTGTCCCATGGCTGGCTGGGATATTCCCCATAGACTCTTGAAGCATCACTTGTATTTGTAAAATCCTTCTCCTGTCTTCTTGCCCAACTTCTTCTGGGCCACCAGATTATTCATGGAAGGACTGGGCTGAAAGAGGGGGTTCTCTGGGTCCATTTCATGCCACCCTGTTGAGAGGAAGGACAAGGATTTGCTTTGGTTTGGCCTTTTCAGGGCATGCCTGGGGCACAGGACCCATGCACGCTGCCATGACAGAGACATAAGGCCAGCTCTGCTGGTGCAGCCAACACTGACCCTAAAGCATGCATGCCATCACTTGCCTGAGCTGCTAGAAGCCTAGCTCCATTTCAGGGCACCTTGCTACCCAGGATTTCCTGCAAACCATGCCCAAGAGCACAAATAGAATCTCCCATTAACAGCTGAATTCCCAAATGGGACCGTTAGCTTTCCAGTGCCATGTTAAATCCTGGATTGCTCCCACTGGTATTTTGTATGTCAACTAAAACCCTTCTCCCCAATATTTAAGGGTTTGATGATATGCTGGAGTACTATAACTACATTTGACTTCAGAAGTTCATCCAGCTTAATAATTATTTTTATGCTGTCTCCAAAACCACTCCCCTTTAAAAAACACCACCACCACCAACAACAACAAAAAGTCTGAATAGCTTGATTTCAATGGAGGTAACACAAATCAGATCATAATACCATGACAGCATACACTGACAATGTCCTGACTCTGATTTTGCACTGTGGTTGTTTGAGATACACCTGTTGGGGGTAACTGAATGACGGACGGGCCCGTATAGAGTTATACTAGATACACCTATGATCTATAATTATATCCATATGAAAGGTTACAGACAGTTGCCCTGCTAAGCAACAATAGGCCATCTCCCTCCTGCTGCCATCTGGGTGGATCTCTAGCTTGCTGCTGTGGCTGGACCTGCTTTGTTCCCCCAAAGGCTGAGGATTCCCAGGGTAGCAGTGTGGAAAATGGTGGAACTTTCTTCAAGAGGTGGGCCTTGAAAAGGCACTTACAGGACTCTACCCACACAAGTGGACTTACAATTTTCTCAGGAGTGGGTCAAATCTAGTGACAATTACAAACAAGGGCCACTCCAGAGCCACATCTGCACACAGCTGTTTTGCTTTTGGCCTCTGCCACAACATGGCAAAGCCAGGAGTATCTTGTCATTTGGAGCATCTCCAGCTATCAAAAACAAGAGCCACACAACTTTTTTTTTTTTTTTCCTTTATAGAGTATCCTACCTCAGGCATGTGGTTATAGTAACACAAAAATGGATTCAGTAAGGCAGGACTTTAAAAGTCTTAAGATTCCTTGTAATTTTTCTTAATTGACATTACAATGTAGAGTTCTAAGAGATCGATTCAACCCAGTTTTTAAAAAGAAAGAGGTTTTAATTCTTACCATCCAAGATGAACTTTGTAGTATCCAGCCCAACGTAGTCAAGAAGCTCAAATGGACCCATCGGGTACCCAGCTCCCAACTTCATGGCAGTATCAATATCCTCTTTAGATGCATCGCCTGCAAAGGAAAGGGCAGCCCTGCGTCACTACCAACTTTCTCCAACTCCCCCCCCCCATGCCTGGGTCAGTTCTAGAATCACTACAATATATAGACACATGCACATTCAGAAAATGTATAGAAGCCCATGTTCCTGGAGTGGGTAAGATTTTTTGTCTCAGGTCACATGCCACATAGGTCAAAGCTTCTCAAACCAACTGCCCCAGATGAGGAGACCTCTAGACCCTGTTCATGGAGGGAACAGTCCAGCCCTGGGAACACTGTCCCCCTAACAGCATGGGATTTCCCAAGTCCAGAGCCATTCATAAAAAATGTCATTTGATACTAGAGTTTTATTTTGTAAATATGCTTCACATATATATACACATGCAAGTACACACTTGTATACACATATGCATACACACATACAAATACACATGCACACACATAAATTCAAACATACAAACTTGCACATGCACACATGCTTAGGTTTCTGTTTATGTATTACAAGTGTGTGTGTTTTTTTTAAACTTTCTTCATTTTACAAAGGAGCATTCTGCTGGGGCTGCGTTCAGGTAGTCGAGGCACCCACTTAAAGAAAGCCCTAACAGCTAGGACCACAATGCACCATTTGTTCTGCACTCCTGAGAACGGTTTTCAAAACCAGGCTAAGCTGGTAGCAGTGTTTAGGCACTTATCTACAATGCCAAACTCCTTCCTGTTACTCTAAGAGATACAACAGCTCTCCAGGGAGTCTCTGAATCTGGAATTAGTCTTGTGTCTAGAGTTCACTGGCCTGTCCTTGAGTATGGGCTTGATTAAATAACTTCAGGTAAGGTGGAACCACTGTGCTGTGTTGAGTACCTGAGGTTGAAGGTTGGGGCTTTTCCTTTAGACTTCTCTGTAACAATAAATCTTCCCGCCACACCGCCCAAGCCCAGCCTGTTAGGACCCCCAAAAGAACACACAGAGACTTATAGGGTATAATGCTGTTGGTCAATGATCACGATTTCTTACCTGCCAGCTCAATCTTAATTATCAATCATAATCATAAGACTTATCTTATGGAGGACACCAGCGGTGAGAGTCCTGTCTTCCTGGGCTCACATGTTGGCTCCAGAGCAGAGAGCAGGAGGAAGAGGAAGGAGCAAGAGGATGATTTCCTTCTTGTCCCTGTTTATATCCTGAGTCTGTCTGCTATTTCACTTCCTGCCTGGATCTCTTTACTACATTTCCCAGAATCCTCTTTGACTCCTAGTCCCACCTATCTTGCTTTCCTATTGGCCAACAGTACTTTATTTATCAACCAATAAGACAAACATATACACAGAAGGACTCCCCCATCACTTCTCCCTATACTGTCCTGGCGATGGGCCACAAGATGCCTTTATGGAGAGCAACCATGCACTCTGCCTCCAAAATCAGAGATGGGAACCACCTGTATTACATGACTATCTATCTAGAATTTTGCTTCAAAGCATAAAGTAGTGGTCAATAATACCAGAGCTAAATGAAGTGCTAAAACGGTGTATTCCATACCTAGAAATGTCAGATGCCTCAACTGGGACCCTCTTCCTCAACAATAAATCCTTCCAAGTCCACATTTTGCAAAAACACATAAAGCACTAAAATAATGGCAGAGGATGTCAGTGCAACCTAAGATGATCACAATACCGGGCACGGTGGCACATGCCTGAAATCCCAGCAGCTGGGAGGGTGAAGGAAGAGAGTAGTGAGTTCCAGGCCAGCCTGGACCAGTAAGTGGGACCCTAAAAACACACAGAGAGACATACATAGACATACACACACACACACACAAACACACACCACGGGGGGGGGGGGGAAGGAAGGAGTGAGAGAGAGAGAGAGAGAGAGAGAGAGAGAGAGAGAGAGAGAGAGAGAGATGCAAAAGAGCCACTATTTTCTTTGGGTGATATTAAGTATTTAGTATAAAACTTATAATAACTAGTGCAATCCTAGTAGTAGTACTAGTATAATCATAGCTAGGATTAGAGGGGCTGCTGGAGAGTTGACTCAATCTGACACCTTCGCCTGACCTCTGTGGGCACCAGGCACACACGGGGTGCACAGACATACATGCAGGCAAAACACTCAAACACTTAAAAAAAAAATCTTTAGAATTAGAGGGATCTGGGAAATCACACTTTGAATTTCATGTAGTAAGAAAGCAAAAATAGTCACACACATATGAATCTCATCAGGTGGTCTCATGTAGCCCATCCTCCCTCCCGGTCCCATGGCAGGGTGGAGAGTCAAACCCAGGGTCTCAAGCATTGCTAAGCAACCGTTCTACCAGAGAGCTCTATCCTCAGCCCTGCTTTACTCCATATTGGTATCTATTAGCTACTGGGCACTAGACGCTTGAGACAACAGCAAAGCTAGGCAGTGGTGACTTAATGGGAGGAAGAGAAGGAGCCGATTCAACACTGCAGCATCCTAACCAGCTCCGCAGCCACTGCCCCAGGTTCTGAAGGACGAAGAGAATCAAAAGAGAGCTAGAACAGTACCAAAGCAGACTACAGCGTGTGCGCAGAGGACACCAGGTGGCCCATGAAGCTGGGCTCTGACTCCATGGCTCACACACACATTGTTCAGGATGTGGACACCGAGGCATCCATGATGCTACAGATGCCAGAGGTAACACCCTGACAGGCTCCTGCCCCAGGACCCCTTCATCCATGCTGTGCGCTGGGCCAATAAGCCTTCGGAGACCTTCAAGCCTCAGCCACTTCCTTCCTCCAGGCTTCTGTTCAGGTGGTGCCAATCAGAGTCTTCCCTGCAGTGCATGAAATAGGAGCTGCTAGGACTGGAAGCCAGGGCACTCCGCACCCCTGCGTGTCTCCACAGTTGTCAGTCAGAGCCTTATCAAAGGCTCACTGATACAGGCAGTGTCCCCTCAAAAGTACCTAGCTTAACCTAAAGCCATTTAGTCAAATCCAAGTCAAAGACTATGGGCCCTAAAGACAAGGCTATAATTCCCAATTCAAACTCTCACTTGGTTATTACTGTGTTTCCAAAATTACTAGAAGAACAAAACACTGTAAAAACAACAACAAAAAAACAAAAACAAAAAACAATCAGTAAGCATCTGCAAAGTTAGCAGCACTCTAAAAACTATTCTGTCTTAAGTAAATCAGTAAACAGGCAAAGAGAAAAAGACAGAAAAGCAGCATATACAATATGTTCAAGTGCTGGACTCTACAAGAGTTTAGGAATTACCGAATGAGGACCTGATGTTCCCTTAACATACACAGATAGATGCACACACGCACACACACACACACACACACACACACACACACACACACACACACACATAGTTCCCCCCCCAATACAGGGCCCTTAACTCAGGATAATGAAGAGGCACGTCCTCGGAGAACCCCGCCAAACCTGGATGGCTGGAGGCTGCTGGCACAGCTGAGTTGGTCTCTGGCTCTCTAGCACCACCTGCCGGCCAGTCTCAACATTACCAGCTGAAGCTCCTATTCCAAGACCCAGACAGACAGGCACTACTTTGTCCACTGACGGCTGAATCCTCACCCTTTTCTTGAAGGAGCTGTGAGGGGCATGAGATGAGGACTCTGACCATACCCCCAGGAAGGAGGACAGCTGGAGAAGTCAGATGTGTCACACCACATGGAAAGGTGGCAAATGGCCCAAAGAGAGCCAAAGCTAAGAGCAAAGACAGATTATGACCAGCCTGGACCTCAGGGACACCAGGTAGTGCTGTGTGAGAAAGACGGAATGCGGTATATGGAGATGATGGCAGAGTCCGAGGGTGAGGTGGAAGACTTTCCAGTCATGGCTAGATACAAGTTACCCGAGAACCGCTGTGCTTGAGCCATGGTGAGGTAGGGAGTGTGGTGTTGGAGACTTTGTGACTGAATAGGACACTCTACAGTGACTAGAGGGCAAGCTCGTGACATCCCCAGGCTGTTACAGCACAACCCTATTAAGAGGAGCTAATCCCGTCCTCTTGCCACCCTCTTGGAGCTGAGTGAGCACGTGACAGGGACAGCAGGTTCCCAAGTCTGCGTCCCTCTGACCCTCAGAGTGGGGACACTACACCCATCCAGCCTCCACCAGTCTGAAGGAATGAAACAATGGACAGCACACAGCTGTGACTGACCTACCGCAGGAGGCTGTCAGAGGTCAGAGGTCAGAGGTCAGAAATACAGTGAGCCTCCATGAGATTCTTTCTACACAGGTGTGAGAAGTGTGGTGGGCACTCAGGGCACATTGGCAGCTACTCAGCTCTCTGAAGCCTTGACTAAACAGTCTCCCACTCATCCTTCTATAAGCTCTCCCATTAAAACAGCTTTTACCAGCACACACACACACACACACACACTCACACAAACGGTGCATCAATAGCATGGGACAGAAAAATTCTCCCCAAAGGAGAGCACAGGCCGAGGCTAGGCCCCCACAGCGTGCATGGACAGAAATTGGGAACAGTGTCTCCCCCACTTCCTTGGCAATTTAACACTTTTTCTGCAAGCAGAGTTGAGAAGACAGGCCTAAGAAATACATGTAGTAAACAGGGTAGCTGCCTGGCTGAGTCTCATTATAGTGGCCTGGCAGAAGGAGATAGGGCTGGGAGAGAAAGGGAACAGTGATGACAGGGAGGCATCAAAGCTGACAAATGGGAGGACCTAGAGTCTTCCATGGAAACCCAGAAATGTGGATAAAGACCAGGGTCTGGGCATGCATCTAAGCACACACTGGTGTTGGCTAGGCGAATGGTAAAAGGGGCACCAGAAGAGAGAGGCCTGGAATCCAGACCACAGCATGAAACGTTGCAAACCTGAACTGACATGACACTCAGCAACTTCGAGGCGGACAGATATTCTGTCACAGGATCCAGCTACAAAGAGAGAGGTCACAGGACCAGCAATGACGGGGCACCCAGAGAAACACCAAGAGCAAACCAAAAGCATGCCCTGGGGCCAGGTTCTGCCTTTCCTGGTACAACACAGAAGTGGCTAGCAATTAGCAATGACGAGGGACAACAAAGTGAAGAAAGCAGTTTTCAACTTAGCATCAGATACTTGGCACATGGGAGTGGTATCAAAGGACAGCCAGTTTCAGAGAGAGAGAGAGAGAGAGAGAGAGAGGAGAGAGGAGGAGAGAGAGAGAGAGAAAGCACTATGAAAAGGTGCTACATTCTGAAATATTGTATTTATTGCAGAAAAAAAAACATGAATGTCTTTCAAGGTAGGCCAAAATGCCACATACTTTCTTTGAGGTGTAATTAGGCACATTTGTTGAGGATAAACATAGAATTGTTGGTTTGATCTTGGAGTAAAAGTAGGCAAGTGCTTCCATAAAGCATGAGGCAAGTTTAATATTTAAACGCTTTGTTTGGGAAATAGCATTCTTGAGAGTATTTGTAAATGAAGTCACTCAAATAAACAAACATACTTGTATTTTAACCTGTCCCTACAGCTTGTTGGCATGGAGAAGAGACATCACAGACATCACACACTCTCCTTCTCAAAAATGGTTATTTTTCCATTACTATCTTTTTGAAAGCAGTAAACTATTATTTGTAAAATTTAGTGTGCGTACATTAGTGCATGTGTATAACATGCATCCTGCAAGCTTGTATATGAGTGTGTGTGCATATGTATGTATTGTCTGAGTGTATGTAACATGCATGATGCATGCATGTGTGTACAGGCTGAGAAGAAGACTGGAGCTGGAGTTACAGGTGGGCGTGAGCGGCCCAACACGGATGCTGGGAAATGAGCTTGGGCCCTCTGGAAGAGCAGTCCACACTCTTAACAGCTGGGTCATCTCTCCATTCTCCTCCCAAGTAGTAAACATTTAACTAAAAGCGGTGCTCCAGTATCTAGATCTGCACCATCGATGCCAATGGTTGCAGCCTGGACTGTCACAGACTCCCACAGGGAGGTCTGTGACCCTGGAAACCCAGTGACAAATGTACTAGGGTCAAGGCAAAGCTGAGTCTAGTTCAGGGTTATTTCTCCATTACTATCTTTTTGAAAACAGTAAACTATTATTTGTAAAATTTAGTGTGCGTACATTAATGCATGTGTATAACATGCATCCTGCAAGCTTGTATATGAGTGTGCGTGCATATGTATGTATTGTCTGAGTGTATGTAACATGCATGATGCATGCATGTGTGTACAGGCTGAGAAGAAGACTGGAGCTGGAGTTACAGGTGGGTGTGAGCGGCCCAACACGGATGCTGGGAAATGAGCTTGGGCCCTCTGGAAGAGCAGTCCACACTCTTAACAGCTGGGTCATCTCTCCATTCTCCTCCCAAGTAGTAAACATTTAACTAAAAGCGGTGCTCCAGTATCTAGATCTGCACCATCGATGCCAATGGTTGCAGCCTGGACTGTCACAGACTCCCACAGGGAGGTCTGTGACCCTGGGAACCCAGTGACAAAGGTACTAGGGTCAAGGCAAAGCTGAGTCTAGTTCAGCAGAACAAGAAAGCAGAAATGCCCTTGCCAGACTCAGCATAGCCCAAGCCTTCCTGCACACAGACTGAGACCTGAGAGCCTTAGCCTGGCCTGGGGCAGGTACCTCGCTCGTGTAGCCTGATGGCCTCTATGAGATATGGCACCAAGAGACGGTTCACGATAAATCCAGGAGTGTCCTGTTGCAGGGGAGAGGAGACAAGTGACCTCATTAACCTCGACATTCTATTTGTATAGACCACTCCTGTGACCCTGGAAACCCAGTGACAAATGTACTAGGGTCAAGGCAAAGCTGAGTCTAGTTCAGCAGAACAAGAAAGCAGAAACGCCCTTCCCAGACTCAGCATAACCCAAGCCTTCCTGCACACAGACTGAGACCTGAGAACCTTAGCCTGGCCTGGGGCAGGTACCTCGCTCGTGTAGCCTGATGGCCTCTATGAGATATGGCACCAAGAGACGGTTCACGATAAATCCAGGAGTGTCCTGTTGCAGGGGAGAGGAGACAAGTGACCTCATTAACCTCGACATTCTATTTGTATAGACCACTCCTCTCCCCGGACTGCGCTGCCCACCCCGTGTCATTCACATTTTCAAAATGTGCTGTGGAATTCCTTACTCTAGATCATACAGCAACATTCCCTCTTCTGCCCCCAACTCCCTCTAAGAAATCACCCCATTCTTAAACACTCCTCCTCTGTGTGTCTCAGCGCTAACCAGACTGCACCCTACACAAACTGTGTGGAGGTCAGGTTTGCTTTCTGACAGGAAAAACTGCACATGCCACCGAGGAATTCCTCCTTGCTGCCCCTCTGCCAGGCTAGTCTCCTGTCTCAGCACCCGGTAACTCTGCAGCATTCTTTCCAACATCCTCTGTTTTCCACTGGGGCTTTATGTCCACCAGACTGGACTTGACGCACAGGCTTACAATTCTCCGGGAACAGAAGTGGTTGAAACTGACTGGACCACAGAAACCTTTTATAAACACAGCTGCTCATCAACAGGCTCCCGAGTCTTCTGTTTAACTGAAGTCCAGGCTCCCCTCTCTCAGACTACACATATGGGGGCATAGGGCATAGGGCTTGGCTTAGGGGTCAGGTTTCTTGGCCTACAAACTAAAATAGAGACACAGCCTGGTCCTTCTTCCAGGACATGGAGAGGCCTGCTGTCAACAGAGCCCATGGCTCTCACTGTGTGTTAGCAGTGTTCTCTGAGCAGCACGCCTGCATAAAGTCACCTCTCTCCCAGGCTACACACACTGCCCCCAGGGGTTCATGTGTTGGAAGTCTGGTGTCCAGGAAAATGGAATAGAACTTCTGAGAGATGGACCCCAGAGATAAATACTTAGATGGCTGAAGGCTTAAGTCTCAGAAGGGACCACTCCCTTCCTGGATGGAGTTCTTCCCAGTGACCTGACCTGACCTGAGCATCTCTGACTTGATAAACAAAGATGTGTTCCTTCCTCCTGAATGTTCTCTGGCCAAGGTGATTCCACTTAGCCACGAGGTCTTCCCTAGTGCTCAAATGATACTGGCATCATGCCCTCAAAGCTCTAGAACTGCAACCTGAATAACACTCCCCGCTTCTTCATAGTTCCCTGTCATGGGTATTTTACTATGGTAACAGAAAACAGACAAAAACATTACCCACACTTTACCTTGCAAGAAACAGGGTGCTTTCCTAAGGTTTTACAAAAGTCGACCAGGGACTCGAACGTCTTCTGGCTAGTCATCGGTGTTTTAATGATCTGGAAATACAAAGCAGGGAATTATGACTGGGAAGGACAGAGAAGCAGCGGAATAGTTCTACTACAAAATGGTAGACCAGTTCAAGGAAACTGAACCAAAGGCTCTGTCTACACAGGTGACAAAAAAAAATCTTTTATTTTAGTGCAGTAAGCATACCCAAATGTCCATGCATGACACTGGAGTCTGCAGAATGCACAAACCTGGGGCTAAGAGTCAAGTGTGAGTTGCTGGGTGGGGTAATGGAGTCTTTCAGGCATTTCGAGCCAGGTGTCGG